TGTGAGAAATGCAAGAAGTACATCTGCAGAAAGCACACAGTTACATTCTGTCCATCATGTGGACAAAACTGAAAATGTTGAGCATTGAAAAACTGAGAACGTTGGGCAAGTTCAACAGAAATGTGTTTGTAAGAGCGAAAAACCAAATTGTTCCTACAACAGTTATGGAAAGTCTAACTGTTGTATGTCTGTGTTCTACGTGTTTATCTGATGGGAAATAAAGTTGCTATTGTTTTATTGTTTTATTGCAGTTTCTTGACAGTTTTGAGTGGATTTACACAGTACGGGTAAAAATGACCCGCAACAAAATCAATGTCACTTTTTGTTTGTCAACATAATACAAGCGTTAATTTCCAACACTTGCATACGATCTTCAACTTGTAGCAGATCCACTATCACACAGCAGCAGGAGCAGTCTCCAATGCAGGTCAGTCCACTGCTGCCACCTGTGCCCAAGTACCACAGCCTACTACTAGATTAACTTGTGACACATCTGCACCTGCTGCTATGATCACATTGAGTAGAGGCTGAGTGGCTGCACTTACCCACTTACATCCAGATCTACCCACCAACATGTTGAAAGATGCAATGCCAGCAATGTGGATTGTTTTTAGTGTTGACAATCAGTAAGCGAACACAACAGGGATAATTTTTCTGTTTATTTAGCAACCACAACATTTGTAGTCGCCTTCTGCACAGGGGAAGTCCACACACACTGTGTGGTACCACTTTCCACAGGAGGTGCTGAATGAGATTGTCTGACTGTTTATTACTAATCACTGTACCTGCTGTACATTCACAGTAACTGCATCTCCTTACAAATGTTTATTAGGTTAACCACACTTATACAGACTGTATATAACAACCAACTCTAACCAACTCTGCAGGTGTGAACAAAGAACTGAAACCGGAATCAGAACACTTTATTAATCTCTAAGGAAACGATGTGGGTCACAGTTGCTCCAACAGATGAAACTATTTAAGCAGATTTATGGATGTTTTTTATTCCTGGAGCGACGGCTTCAGGTGTTCTTCAGGTGAGGGTGAATATCAGGTCCTGTGGACTCTCAGGCGAGATATGTGGGTGTGTGATCTCTGAACTGCTGCATGATTTCGGTCTGACACTCGGTACCTGTAGTGGGAGGTGGTGTTACACTCAAAAAACTCCAGAACAGAGAAGCTTCATTGTTTGTGGTGCTTATTTATCAGTTTGTTTGATTTTCACTCCGACTTTCTCTGCAGGTCTTTGTCCATCGACACAGAAGACGAAA